ATAAATTACAAAAACATAAAGTTATAATAATTACTAAAATTTTATATATAATAAAGAGCTATAAGAAACCTTTTTCGCATGAAGAAAGTCAAACCTCCAAATTCTTCTGATAAAAGACAAAGCCTTAAACTTAAATAAAGAACTGTTACACTCAAAAAAATGAGGCTTCAGTGCATCCTCTATATAAAAAAAAAATTGTTATTTTTATTGAATCAAATTTCAAAATTTATTCAGGATCAGTATTCGAAGTTAGATTTACGCTAGCAAAAATAAACCTTATTTTTTCTGAACAACACAAGGTTGGATTGTTATAGACAAGTTGAAATAACCTTGTCAAAAATCTATAGTACTTACTCATGAAATAACACAAATAACTAATTAAAAACATACTGGCACAAAATAAATTTTAAGATCACAAAGTAAGTGCCAAGTAATTTCTTACTAGAACTGATACGTAGTGTACTAGTATAATACATTATAGAATACTCCCTTTAAATACTTCAAATGCCTATTATACAATAAAATTTTTTGTAATCTTTCTTTTATTAGTTTATTTTTTTATTTTTTTTTGTTTAGCAGAATTCGTCAAGCTAAGTTTGAGGTTTCAACTTTCATTAGAGGAATTTGAGGGTTTCGACTTTTGTCAGAAGAATTTGATGTTTCGACTTTCGGCATAGGTTTCGTTATTTAGGGCTCAGATTTCAACTTTTGTTATCATACAAAAATAGGTTTGTCTAACAACTATATGCCTGACCAGTTTACCAAAATAATAGTATTTCTTGTAGTGCTATTATAGTCAGTGTAACCCATACTCTATAAAAAAAATCTCATAGAATTGTTTAGAAAATTCTGAAATTATTTGATTTTTTGTTCAGAAAATCAGCTCCATTTCGAATATTTTCATAGTGATTTGAAAACATATTAAGAAATTAAATAAATTGAGTTATTAAAGATAATAAAAGTAAGAAACATTAAATTTACCTTGTGACTTGTAACTAGCTACTATTAATTCAGCAATACCCAATGCTAAATTTTCCTATCTAACATACAGAATCTAATAAACAGTCAAGTTTACAATTAGATAAAATACTGTAAAATACAAAAATTTTGCATAAAAATAAATAAAATAAATAGTTGATTATCAATTTTCAACTCAAGTAAATTAGAATGTTTGATTTTCACATAAGAGCCTGACTTTTGAATTTATAATATAACTATTATGATTCTATTCTATATACAATTAATACTTTATCAAATATAAATCAAAGTTATAATATTGCAAAAAATTATTTATTAGATTTAATGAATTTGTGCAAATTATTTTGAATTACATAATTCAAATAAAATCAAGCTAGTAATTTTGCAGAGTTCTAAGACATTTCCTCTAGATTATTGTAATCAAAATTTAATAAAGCCAAAGTATTATTTTGCAAAGATTCTTCATTAAAACTTCTTCTTTTTAAAAACCTAATAATGATATAACATGATAAGATTTTATGTATAAATAAAAAACATAAGGGAATGTACCTAATCCAAAGTAAATCTCATACATGGTATAATCAATAAACTAAAAATTATTTATATTAGTTTTAATTGATCACATTATATGTGAAATTCATTTTGGATCAGATACATTCCCTTCTGTTTTGTGTAAAAATAAACTTTGAATAAAATTTTACTACCCACATTCCTGACATTTGAAAAGTATTCTGATATTTTTTAGCATAGTCATGCAAAGTTTGGTGAGCACCAATTGTGTCTACACCACATAGCTTAAGTGCATCATCAGATAATCTTACTAAATTCTTTACTGAAATTTGCTGTTTTTCAAATTTATGCAAGAAATTTTGATAGTAGCAATTAGTTGTTTTACTTTTATCTAATTCTCTTAAAAATTCAGCCATCATTAGTATAGTCAAAAAAACTCTATTTGCTTGAGGTTGAAGAGGAATTATTTGTGAATATGCATTGAAAACAGTTGAAATGTTGAAGACCCATAAGCCCAATTATTTTGTAGTGGCAGAACGAATGGTGCTTGTGGTAATAGAATAAATGATGCTTGTTGTGATGA